TACAGAATCGAGCAAGTATGGGTTTCACGGCAATCTTTGATGTTTGTACAACATGTTTAATATGTTTAAAATCTCTATTTGCTCGATTGTGTAATCTGTTAGGAAATAGCAGAAATAATCGATTTTTACATTGAAATTAGGTAATGCCAAAATATGCCGGACTATTTGTCAAACCTCTCAGGATTTTAAATAAAAACAAAAAGTCGGTAATCTTTGATGGTTAACATGCCACATTTCAAGAATATAGATTATATTTAAAAATCGCGACGTGTGTTTCTCTAGCGCAAACAAGGTAGATCCAAATATTTAGTAAACTTATGCTGCGCTCTTGTAAATATAAAGAATCGTAAGTGCAGGCAGATAAATAAATCTATGAAATCTGGTGCACATAATCACTGCAAAGATGGAAATCGATTCTCAGTTTAATCGTCGCAAAGGAGGAAAAAGAATTAATTCTCAACTTGAATCAACGCGGACTCACGCTAATCACGGCATTAATCGACACGCGCGACTATCGCGCAGGCAAATGAGGAACATAAGAAGAACACGTCGCCGGAGGAAAATCATCGATTTCATTTTTACGAGCGGACGGTGATTTCTCGATTCACGCCGCTCCTCCACGGACGATCGTCGGCGGCGGCCGATCGTATCGGATTGTTGATCGAACATTTTTTCCAAAACTGCCGGATCCGTTTCCAGCACGCGACCGAACTTTCCCGTCGGCCGGATAGAGAGAACGGGAGCGCAGTTCACCGTCATTTGTCGAGCGGCCCCCGAGTTCGTTAGCTCCGATGAACTTCGACCGTTCTGTGACAATGTCGCCAGGTATTCAATAAAGCCGTGCCGACGATCCAGACGACATGTTAGCTCGAAATTCCGCGCCCACGCCGTCGCTTCGGAATAGAAAGAAACGCGCTTCGGTGCTCTCTGCGTTTTTCTCCGCGCGAAAAAAAAAGGGGGAAGCCGGGGGATGGGGAGGAGTCGAGCGGAGAAAATTACGTAGGCTTGAATATATCTCTGTTTCTTTCATCTTCGGCCTTTTTTTTTCCTTTCTCGTAGAGAAGCTGCGGACTTAATCGATTGAAATCGGTTCAGAAATTTATCAGCTGAGAGATGATCAGGCACATCTTGTTAAATATACTTACGCGAATATATTTTTTTCGTCTTGTTTTTCCGAGAAACGATTTTCCATTTTATTTTACTTATTTCATTTATTCGTTCGTCCGCGGGAAATGATTCTTTTAGTACACAGCGTTCGCGAAATGATTCTGCGAAGAAGAAGATACTCGAAGCCGAAGAAAGTGTATCGTGAAACGATTACACGCAGCCACTCCTCCGTTCTCTCTTTTCCCCTCGCTCTGTTTTCTCGTTTTTCGAAAACGGATTTACTCGCTCGTCGGATTCTCATTTACATCCGTTTCGCACTCTCGTCCCGGAGCGTCGTTACGAAGTCTCGATTGCGAGGTGAGTCGGCGGGAGAACGCGGACTCGGTTTTTCCGGCATCGATTTAGTTAAGAGTATACTTTCTAGCTGATTTAGCGAAGCATGAAGCGGCACGGCGAGGGGCAGCGAGAGAGAGAGAGAGAGAGAGAGAGAGAGAGAGAGAGAGAGAAAAAGAAAGAAAGAAAGAAGGCAGCCGACGACACGCAGAGGACGGTCGGTATCGATCGAGAAAGTATCACGTGCGCGACGAGGAGGAGACTGCATTTGGCGAGCCGGCCGCCAGGGAAAACCTCGCGCCACGTCTGTAAACGTGCAATCTGAATGCGCACGTGTGTGTGTATACGCGCATACGTGTATGTGCACTGTGCGCCAAAAGGGCCTCTGCACCGGCGCGGCGATGGGATAAACGTACCAATAGGACAAGTGTGCACTCTGGGGAGGGGAAGGGGACAAATAGAGCCGTTCTTAACTTCGCTCGATTGTACGGGTCTCGAGAAATTATCGAGTCGCTTACACATGCGCGAGGCGCGATTAAACTTTCCGACGGGGATACTTCTTGCCGTCGCGAATAATAAGCAGCCTTGAATTAATCAGAACCAGATGAGGCACCGGCGCCGCAAGGGGGGAGGGGGAGAGAGAGAGAGAGAACGCTCGTTAAAATAGACACCCGACTAGTCGAATCGCGCACCTTCCACCCCGCGATGTTCTTGTCGGCGAAGCGGAAGTTCCGATTAAATAGCGATAATTAATAACTGATGTTACGCGTCCCACCGAATATATGATAAGAAAGAGGGAGAGAGACCTCGTTTCAATTTTTCTCGGAAGCCTTGAGAATAATTCAGGTGTGGGAAGGTTAAATGTGCGCCTCTCTCCCCTCTCTCCCACGTTGTCATTCATTCGCAATTAAGCACGAGCAATTATTATTGCTGGTGCGTTTAATTTGCATGATGATGCGTTCGTTCATCGGCATGCGCGTCGTCACTCCCTTCCCCTTTCCTCTCCCCTCCCTACGATCCACACTCCGACTATCGAGAAAATATCGCTTCGTCTACGACGACGAAGGCACGGTGATCGCGTTTCCGGAAATCGACTTTTAAACGGAATACGTGCTCGCTTTTCGGAAAAATCAGCTCCCCGTCGCCGTCGAAGCCGTGAAACGCTGGCAACGTGTGTCCATAGCGGTTTCTGGGAAAATATTACTTCTCTCGCATCTCGTAAATGCTCTCAGAAGGGGATGCAGTCTCACGGCGACGCCGGGGCGCGCATTTTCCCCTGGAACGAAAATGATATCGAAATGCGCGGGCTTTGGCGGGGGATGTACAAGAGGCGTTATCGAGTACCGCAACGAATGGAGGATTGATACATCTAATATATTCGGTATAATCGATCGGCCTCTCTCTCTCTCTCTCTCTCTCTCTCGCCGCCATGACACGCGGAGGAATAACCGTTCTGAGACATGTGGCGCGCGAAGTGTTTACGTACGGCCGCGGGTAATTCTCCGCCTGAAATTCCCATTTCTTAACGCAATCGTGACTCGATAATTCACTCGACGGCGTTTTATTTGCTTATCGCCGACCTTTGGTGTCCCTCGGTGTAACGGCGAGCCTTCCTTTCGCAACGGCGACGTTTCCTGTCGGAAACCTGTGTTGCGCGCGCGAAAAAATATCTCGCGATCGCGCGCGCGATACTTCGGGCGCGACTTCGCCGGATTCTCTCGCGGATAAGTCCTCGGCTCGATTAAAAAACTACCGGTTGTTTCCTCGCCCGAGGTTTCTCTCTTTCTCTCCTTCGCAGCACGCCTAGCGTGAAGTTAATGCACTCGGAAAAATTCTGCAGCGAGCACATTACGGCGCGCGACATTAGCATCGCGCCTCGACATGCCGCGTCGTTCCAACGTGTGTCAGATAACGCACATACGAGGAGGAAAACCGTCCTGACCGACCTTTAAACGTCTATTTAAAGCGCTCCTCGCACCGCGCACTCGCCCGTTTCGATTGCGATGCGGCGCGACTTGTGTGAAACACAAAAACGCAAATAGTGAACATTTATTTGCATACGATGTCTCCGGGGGGAAATATGTTGTAAACGCGCAGGAAAGCGCAGTTTGTCGTTGAGCAATCCTTATCTCGAAACTTTTCTCGTTCCTTATCTCTAATTCTTAGGCTATCGGCTTCCAAACACGTGGAATATTTTCCGGTAATCTTATCGAGGGGCTCATTTTCTTAAAATCGAACGTCCAATTTGCACACGCGAGTCAACGTTATTTATTTTATAAATTACGTTAAATTCAATCTCTCGAAAAATTTTTACTCTCGCCAGATCCTTCAACATACGGAAATATATTCTCACACGGTGAAAAATTTTGTGTAAATAACGGTCCACTGAAATTTTCGTGTTACTTTAACAAAGTGAATATGTTAATGTTTAACATGTAATTAATTTAAATTAATTAATTAGTTAATTTAATTAGTATAATTAGTGTAACTAACAGTTAATTCAACATGTATTTCTGTCTGTTTTAACACATTTCCATGTTAAAGCAACAGAAAAATTTCAGCGGACCGTTATTTACACTAAACTGTTGACCGTGTAAAGGTCCTCAGAGATCAGGATTTACATACTTTTATTAAATCCCCGTTTACACACAGATGACAAATTTATATTCTCAGACACATGCCTATTACTTGAGAAATCTCAGGACTGTTACAACTACTTCTTGTCGTTCTACGAGTGACGGCAATTGTGACGAAATCGCAGTTGCGACGTCTCGTTCGTCGTAACGCGCAACGACGGCGTCACCGGAAACGCGACTAAACAGGTGTTCGCGCCGAGATGCAGCCGCCCTCGCTACGTTTCGCCTGACGAGATCCTTTTCCGCCTCCGCACGATTCTCCGTTTCTCTCCTTCGTCGGTGCATTTCCTAAAACGTAGCGGTTATTCTCGGCGGTGCGTCAGATATAAGCAACGAAATCTCATCTCCGTGAATGTATCTTCGAAAAATGAGTATTTCCCCCGATCTAACCACCCATAATGCCAGACAGTCAAAAGTGGTGGATCACTGTATCCCCAAGAATGCGATGGACACACCCGTAAGAAAAATCGGGGGTCCCGGAGAAAGAACGAGAAAGTTTCCATCGCGCCCAGTTCTCACCCGACCTCCGTAATGACCTTCGAAACGATGTATCACGCGCGATTCGCGTGCCAAACCGGACTGGTAACGCGAGCCACCGAACTTCCCATCGGTCTCCGGAGCGTTCAATTACAGCTCAATCAAACCGAAATCAAATATATCCGGGCGCGTTCTCGCGGCTGAGGAACCCCTCCATCGTCGGATCCCGCAGGTGGAGAGTGGCGACGCGAGTCTTCGCGCGTTTGTCCTCGCGTAATTCGCCCTGCCGGCGCGGATCTATTTCGGGTCGTGTAAACGACGCAACGCGCTCGCGGCGTGGAGGGCGCGATATCTACACTTTGTCCGAGTAGTAACGTATAGTTCGCTCGTGTTCCCGCGCAAATACGACGACGTACGATCTAATTGGCTGGTAATTTTGGTTTGCAGCGTGGACCGGGACCGGCTCCGGGAGCGAGAACGACAGGCCCGCGCGGCGATGTCGGTCCAGGCCGAGCAGGCGGGTGCGGGAGGTGGTTCTGATCCCAGACACCATCATCACAGCCACCATAACCACGCGCACAGCAACTTGCACGCGTCTAGCTCATCGCTCTTCCGTGCTCCTGTCAGGGTAAGTGCGACGTTTTCTAATTATCCCCCCGCCATCGACGGTATGCATGCATGCGCGTACGTGTGCGGCGGCGTTATCGATTATGCACTGTTCCGAACAATAGTAAGTACCGAGTAGCGAGATGACGACTCAAAATCTTCATACAGCTTTGTTGCGTAAGCATATTCGTTGGAAAGCCACTTCGATTAATAAAGGAAACTTGAAAGGAATAATGAATATGTATTCAATATTGTTTACGGGCATTCGAAGAAGCGATTCTGTGATTATTTCGAACAGTGTGTTCTCGACAATATGTTAATATTAGTTCGTTATAAAGATGTGTATATGAGTGTTACACACACACACACACATACACATGCGCAGATACAGTTGATATCCGTGTTGAAATTTTAGTCCTAGTTTTTTCATCCCGTGTATTTCATCGAATTTAAATAAATATTATGTCTCGTGACATGATATTATGTGGGCTGTTGTTCTTTAATCCTACAAATGTTAATGCCATTTTTCATGTTAAGAAGGATTTATTCAGAATCATTCAACGTTCGATTATGTCAATATTTTACCTGCACTTAACTTTATTATCAATTTCAATGAGCAATATATTAATTAACAACTGTGATAGATAGAATGTGCGAATATTATATAAAATGAACAAATATTCATTGGATCATTGGATAAATAGTGAGATTAGTGGATAAGTATAATAAGAAGACTTCCTTTTGATAATTTTTGATTATTTTTTATCATTGACGTTTCGATAAGATTTGAGAAGGGATGAAAAAGAAGAGATTGTAAGAAAGAGAAATTATGAAAGGCACAAATCAGCACTTTCGAGGCTTACGGTAGTTTCTAAATTTTGCGCTCGGGGCACCTCCGATAAGTATCGACGATCCTGATACGGTAGGCTGCCTTGAAGGTTCGGAATGTTTTGACGTCGATTGTTTTGATTTCTCGCCTACCGAACGCGTTACTGTTAGGCCAATGACTACCGTTGACGGTTGATGGGAGAGAACGGCTGCCTTTTTTGCCGATTGTTTTGATATGCTCGCGCGTCGCGTACTTTCTTACAACTGACGTTATTACGTCCCGAGCCGGTACGAGTGAAGCACGCGATCGCAACGCGGAATACGTGTATCGACGCGATAGTCATAAATTCAATTAGATTATAATATTTTGTGTAGACTCTTGAATTATACAATTGGATTCTCGCCGTCATCGCGTTTAACACACGTTTCTTTAATGGAATTGTACATAGGCGAGTGTTAGCGGATGTTCTGCATATCTAAATAGCCAGGGATGTTGGATGAAAACGTCAGGTCACGGATAGCGATAAGTTATATATTTCCAGATACGTTAGATAATCTATTATAAGACGTCCCAGTTTTAACAGACGTTTTCGGCGAACTTACTGAGAATAATGAGATACTCGAGTCGAAATTTAGAATCTTAGTCTGGCAAGTGCTAATTTATGTTTCCAATAATATATTTGGGATCGTAAATTTTATCTTGAGTTTGCTCCAACTTCTCTTCTTTTCATTTCTATCATTTTACATACCAAATCCAAACTGAAATATCTACATATATATTTATCGGTAAACAACATCGTTGGGCACGCGACTGCTATGTTTATCCTTTCTACTTTTCCCTTAAACTTCCGAATCTTATTGAATCTAATTTTCAATATGTCAATAAAGAAAAAGCAAACCACTTTACAAACGTAAAAAAAAATGCGCCAAATATATAAAAATATCCAATTATACATTCAATATATTTATTTATTTATAGCAAACTTTTGACTTTTGACTTTGAGTATTATATACGCTTGCATACGCGTATGCGTGTGTAGATGCGATACGGGAAGCTGCTGGACTCGCCAGGCGAGAAAAAATGCCTTTTTCATGGATAAGATTTCGAGTTCTCCTGATTGACTGCACCAATTTTAATTAGATTAGTCGTAATCGAAAGTTTGTACCAACATATATCGGAAAACTGCCTTTACATTTTTTATCACAATTTTAGTTCCCGAAATATTTTAATCAGAAGCTTGACTGATGTGAAAACTTCAGATAAGCTATATTGGTAATGCCGCATCAACACGAACACAGTCTCATTTCTCATACTTGATATCTCTTTTGTTATATATTTGGCATCGCGGCGCTTATCGTAATACAAAGATTATGAGAAAAGAAAGTGTCTTGTTTTGCATTATCGCGTTAATCTTTATTCAATTATTCGATATTTATTTATTTTCAGTATTCATATTTTCTGTATTTACATAAATTCATATTCTATCTGCGGTTATAAATAAGTTATACGCAATTAATACACTATTTATCAAAATTGAAACTGAAGATTAAAAACGAGTAGAGAACGTCGAAATATTAAATAACCTCAAATATCTCCGGGGGGTTACTTTCTAAGAATGTTTATAGCCGCAAGATCTCGTTGCAGAAAGGCTCTTAGTAAGACCGTTGAGTCGTAACACGATAAAAAAGCGCCGGTGAGTAAATATACCATGATATATCAAGGTTGGACGACAGTATCTGTACGGTATTGTCATATCCGGAGATTCCCTTTTCAACTTTGACGGAGTTTTGTAGGATTAGTGTAGAAATAGAATTTCGACTTGGGTAAATACGCGTATTATCGCCTCTGAAATATGTTCGGGAGGGAGGAGGGGACCGGTTCTGATAGTCCTGTTTAAATATCACGTGATCACGTCGTTGAATGCCTTCGCATCGATCTTTCGGTGGCCAATATTCTCTAAATATAAATGCGCGCAAGCCTGCATACGAATATATATATATATATATATATATATATATATATATATATATATATATATATATATATATATATATATATATATATATATATATATATATATATATATATATATATATATATATATATATATATATATATATATATATATATATATATATATATATATATATATATATATATATATATATATATATATATATATATATATATATATATATATATATATATATATATATATATATATATATATATATATATATATATATATATATATATATATATATATATATATATATATATATATATATATATATATATATATATATATATATATATATATATATATATATATATATATATATATATATATATATATATATATATATATATATATATATATATATATATATATATATATATATATATATATATATATATATATATATATATATATATATATATATATATATATATATATATATATATATATATATATATATATATATATATATATATATATATATATATATATATATATATATATATATATATATATATATATATATATGTACATACTGATCCACTAACACCGCACCGCGATAAGGTATTTCCACGAATGGAAATTAAAACAGCTGCCGTCCGCCGGCCATTAATTTATTGCCGGCGATAATAGCTTTTTTCTCCCTCGCCGGCACAGGATAGCGCCGTGTCAGTTAAATTGACACACGCTCGCTCGCTCGGAGCATTTCGCGGCGAGAGGGGGGGTTTTTTTTTTCATTCGTCGAGATGACGCGAAAAATGTTTTTTGTGCCACGAAATGAGAATGGCGATGAATACCGAACCTGTCGATCAATTTCGTTGCTTGCGCGCGCCCGACGATTGCATCTCGCATGATGCACTAACGTGGTTGCATTCGAACGTCATCGTTATGTATGTATCGGCCGCTCTAAATCGGGCGCGGATCTATTTCTTTCGCAAGACCGCGCGCGCGTTCGTTTCATTAAGCGTGCGCGTGACGACGACGACGGTGACGACGAGTATATTTTCTATTCGCAGCGGTCGCAGCGAGAAGTCACGAATAATTAACGAGCAGGGGAGGCGAGAAAATTGCGGTGACGTTCGTTCCTTATCGCCTGTCATCTTTATTCAAGCAGAATCCCGACCTACCGCGCGCTGGCCCGATCGTTTAATGGATCCTTCTCGTCTTCTTGCGTTTTAAGAGCCATTTCGTCCTTTCTCGCGTCTTTTCACATCCGTCTAGTTAGCAGTCGGAGGCACTTCGGCCAAGTGGATTCACTGACCGCTTCAATTAACGTTAACCGATAAGCCCCTCCGCTCCCGTCGTCGTCGTCATCCGTATATAAATCCACTATAATACCGCTTAATGAATTTGATTTCGGTCGTAACCGTTATTATTGTTTACCTAGTTAACAGACTCAAGATAACTCGAGACAATTAGATTTGCGATTACTAAGATGCATTATCGGGAACATAAATCAACATCTCCCAGACTTAGACTCTAAATTCCAAATTTCGACTCGGCTAGTTATTTAGACTCGAAAATGTATTTGCGGAAGAGATATGAGATTCATCTTCCGGAACAAGGATTATTTCTGCGAAATAAACCTTGTATCAGACGCACGCAGAATAAATATTTCGCGGAAAGAACGAGGATAGACCGAATAAGGATTCCACGCGGGACAGACTTTCACAGAGAGAATAGGGATTATTTCCGCGAAATAAAACCCCCTTGTATCCCGCAAAAAGACATTTTCAAGTACTTTTCTCTCAGCGCGCAGATCCGACCAAACTCATTTTTCAGTGTGCACCACCATCGCCGAGAGCTTGAAACTTTCTCTTCACGCGTCACGTATCACCACCGACGAATATTTCACGGGCTCCGAAGCAAGTCGTGTCCGCGGTCCTCCGGGTTTTCCGGCTTCAATCTCGAATCTGGCGGGCGATAACGGCGGCTGTTTTAAGGGCCTGCAGGGCGACCCCATACGACCGTTATGGCGAAGGCAAGGACCCATCGGGTCCCTCCACTCGCTCGTAAACATGACCCTGTTCCCTTACCCCTCCGACGCGCTCTCACCCTTCGACCTTCCTCTCCGCCACCGCTCCTCGCCGTTCTCCGCCCACCGTGCGGGGTTATTCTCGGTGAAATTTATCCCACATCTTTGCGAGACGCTCCGGCTAAAAAGAGGAAAAGG